AACACTACTAACTACTACTACTAACCACTACTACTTACTAACTACTACTATTTACTAACTACTACTACTACTAACCCTACAACTAACACTACTAACTACTACAACTAACACTACAACTAACACTACTAACTACTACTACTAACACTACAATTAACTACACACTACTAACTACTACTACTAACCACTACTACTTACTAACTACTACTATTTACTAACTACTACTACTACTAACCCTACAACTAACACTACTAACTACTACAACTAACACTACAACTAACACTACTAACTACTACTACTAACACTACAATTAACTACTACTAACACTACTAACTACTACTACTACTAACCCTACAACTACTACTAACAACTACTTAACTACTAACAGTACTAATACTAAGAACTACTTAACTATTAACAACTACTACTACTAACCACTACTACTTACTAACTACTACTATTTACTAACTACTACTACTACTAACCCTATAACTAACACTACTAACTACTACAACTAACACTACAACTAACACTACTAACTACTACTACTAACACTACAACTAACTACTACTAACACTACTAACTACTACTACTACTAACACTACAAGGGTAGGGCTTACCTTGGTGGCAAGAACGGCAAGAGCGAGGGCCGACGACGACGGCGGGGATGACCGTAGCAGCGCGAGGATCAACGGGCGGTCGGAACGGCGCCAGGATCGACGGGCGGTCGGGTCGGCACCTTCCTCTTCTTCCTCCTCCCCCTTCTCTTTGTTCCTATTCTTCCTCCTCCCCCTTCTCTTTCTTCCTCTTCCTCCCCCCCCCCTTCTCTTTCTTCCTCTTGCTCCTCTCCTTCTCCCTCATCGCCGGCCTTGCAGGCCATGGCGGGGCCATGGGGAGCTCGGGGCAGGGGAGCTCTGGGCGGACTCGGGGCCGGTCGGGTGTGTCCCGGGAGCTCAGAGTCTGGGCGCCGTGAGCTGGGCGGTGGTCGGGGACAGGCGCGGTGGCGCGCTGGGCGGGGGTTGGGCCGCCAGGCTGTGGGCGGGTCGGAGGTTGTCAAGGCGGGGCGAAGGCCGGGACGGGCCGGGCGCTGGGCGGACCAGTGAGGACCTCACGGAGGGGACGACGACGGCAAGGGGGGGGGGGTGGGCATGGCAGGTAGGGAAACGCGGGGGTGGTGGGAGAGAGTGAGGAGGGGGGGTTGGGTGGCCCATTCGGGCCTTTAGGTTAAAAGATTTGCCGAGTCTTGGGGCCAGGTGGCACACTCGGCAAAGGTTTTTTTTTTATTTTTAAATTCTTTGCCGAGTGCCCTGTGACCTGGCACTCGGCAAATTAATTTTTTTTTTGTTTTTTTCGCCCCATTTTTTCTGGGGCCTTGCTACAGTCATTAAAACTCAATTTCAAAATTTGGGACAATTTTGAGTTTTTTTACTATATTTCCTTAATTTTTTTTGTTTCGTTGAATTTTTCTGACTATTTCAAATTTGAACTGCATGTACATGAAATAATGGAATTTGGTCATTCAAAAAATGGTATTCATGATGTTTGGCGTATGTTGAGGCCGTATCTAGGAACTCGCATAAAATTACGAGCATCTTGTTGTCGTAACATGACGATGTACTTGCGGGAAAAGTGTATTTAAATTATATAAAATCCAAACGAAGTCCGAAAATCACGAAACTTGTCGAGGTGTCTTGTTATCGCATGTGGAGGCCGTGGTAAAACATTGAGAAAGTTTGGAGCAAGTTGTGACGTCGGATGCCTATGTCTGGCTTTTAGGCATCCGACGTCACAACTTGCTCCAAACTTTCTCAATTTTTTACCATGGCCTCCACATGCGATAACAAGACACCTCAACAAGCTTCGTGATTTTTGAACTTCGTTTGTATTTTATATAATTTAAATACACTTTTCCCGCAAGTACATCACATGTGGAGATGTCTGGCTTTTAGGCATCCGACGTCACAACTTGCTCCAAACTTTCTCAATTTTTTACCACGGCCTCCACATGCGATAACAAGACACCTCGACAAGTTTCGTGATTTTCAGACTTCGTTTGGATTTTATATAATTTAAATACACTTTTCTCGCAAGTACATCGTCATGTTACGACAACAAGATGATCGTAATTTCATGCGAGTTCCTGGATACAGCCTCAACATACGCCAAACATCATGAATACCATTTTTTGAATGACCAAATTCCATTATTTCATGTACATGCCGTTCAAATTTGAAATAGTAAAAAAAATTCAACGAAACAAAAATAATTAAGGAAATATAGTAAAAAAAATCAAAATTGTCCCAAATTTTGAAATGGAGTTTAATTACTGTAGCAAGGCCCCAGAAAAAAATAGGGCGAAAAAAACAAAAAATAATTAATTTGCCGAGTGCCAACCTTGGCACTCGGCAAAGAAGCCTTTGCCGAGTGCCAGGTCACAGGGCACTCGGCAAAGAATTAAAAAAAATTAAAATAAAAAACCCTTTGCCGAGTGCCTAACGGCGGGGCACTCGGCAAAGGCTGACGGCAGGTGGCCGCCATCACGCCGGCCACCTTTGTCGACGGCCAAATTTTGCCGAGTGCCCGGCACTCGGCAAAGATTTTTTTGCCGACGGCCAATCTTTGCCGAGCGCCCAGCACTCGGCAAAGGAAAAATTTTGCCGATGGCTAAAGTTTGCCGAGTGTCCGGCTCTCGGCAAAGGCAGATTTGCCGACGGCCTATCTTTGTCGAGTGCCGCTGGGTCCGGCTCTCGGCAAAGATTGCCTTTGCCGAGTGCCCGACAGAAAGCACTTGGCAAAGCTTTTTGCACTCGGCAAATCAGCCGTGTCCGATAGTGCATCATTGCCAATGCAAGAAAACGGTCCATGCATGCACCGAGTTATGACCGCAAGCAAGCCAACAGTCCTTGGCCCAGCAGTAAAACCATGAATAGATTCATGTGGGATGCGGACAAAAATCATTTCACCATTTACGCTGGAAGATAGGAGCTAAAAAAACCTGCTCCTCATTGCTCTATATTCAATCTCCCACCAGAGTCACTCTAGAATAAAGCCTCACCTACTTCTCACCTGCTCTCTCCCAATAAATTAAATAGAATCACTCCACTCGAGAATCAAAGAGCAGAGGTAGAGAATCTAGGAGTAGAGCTTTGCCAAATAGACCCATACAATACCATAACTGTTATATCAAATCCAGCTATAACTTATGATGTTTAGAACTCCTTTGATCTCTCATTCTTTAGAATCATGACCACACAATCTTAATACAACTATAGTACTACCATGATATGAGAAAACTGCGTCGTGGTCCGGTTATGGACTTCAAGTAGACGAGTAGGCCAAGCGGTCCCAACGCTTTGCCTTGTTGTACCCACGGTCACAAATTCTACTGTTATATAGTCCTTTGTATGTGTTGTAGCTGCTAGGCTATAGCTTGTCGACATTTTCGGTTGGTCCCGAACGCTAGTGTCTTACCAGCAGTGGTGGAACAGCCGAAACTTGTCGATGTTGTGTAACTTTGACACTTTCCTATCCTCTTAATGAAAAACAGGCTAGGGCTTGCCCGTGAAAAAAATATAAAAAAAGGATATCCAAACACCTACCTTTAGGAAATCTAACCTGTGTCTTCGACGTGAAATCAATGCATCTTATACGTAAGAAACGAGAATAGAAGTGATTCCAGTCGCTCCTATAGTGGCATCAACCTTAATTCTATAGTGCCAGTCCAATATCAGACAATAATTATGCTCTACTACAAGTCTACAATATATTGCCTACTCCTACATACCAGTTGCATGACATTACAGGGTAGATCGGACACCGTTTTGCACTGTCATCCCACCACATTTAATTTTATTAACCCGTTCATTTGGCTTGGTCCCTATTACCTGTCATTGCTCATGGAATCTATTCAGAGGGAAAAAACTAAGAAGCATTAGGCTTTAAAGGGATCGCCTATTCTAAAGTTGCGCGCGGCATCAGAGGAAGAAAGCTAAGAAGCATTAGGCTTCGAAGGGATCGCCTCGCGCGGCAAAGCCAGTTTTGGTTTGAACCGCCGCTGTATAAAAAATAAAATAAAATCCAGAGCAAATTTTGGTTGTATCCTCACAAAACTGCCCTAAGTTTTGTACGTGATCATGAATTGACGATTGTGTGTCCTGAATCTGTACCGACAAAAAACAAGTTTGCACCATCTTACAAACTCGCAAGCAAAGGTAGAGATACACGTACTACTACTCCAGATGCCATTTTTCCCCCCAGCCGTCATGCTGTAGACAAAAAAACTTGGGCAGATTACCATGATGACAAACTCAATAGTATAATTCTCCAACTTGTACTGAATATTTTAGAAAATACACGGCCAAACAGTGAAGGAATACATAAGGCACACGCACATGCTTAAAGCAGAAAACTGAAATAAAGGGATAACGAATGGGCCGTTGGTAACTCGGTACAAACTTTTCTGTAAATCGTTTTTCAATCTATCATTCTCCAGTAATAAGCAGAATAGCAACGGCAGATGGTAACAAAACCTGAAAACCATCAGCTAGATTTAGAAGTGCACAGCTGGTAGATTACAAGCAGCCATGCCCAATAAGTACACATTAAACAGTGAAGGAATACATATGGTGCACATGCTTAAAGCAGAAAACTGAAATAATAATGGGAAAATGCATGGAAGCGCAGAGATGACGAAGCCGTTGGTAACAACTCGGTACAAGTTTTTTGTAATTCGTTTTCCAATTTCTCCTGCTCTAGTAACAATAAGCAGAATGGCAACTGCAGATGGTAACAAAACCTGAAAACCATCAGCTAGAAACTAGTTCAGTTCTTCAACAGATTACAAGCAGGCATGCCCAATACACATCAAAAGCATTTTGAACACATAAGACTAGTCCAACTCAGGAAACTGTTTGAGTTACATCGACCTTGCTAACTGAAACTAAGAAAACACCAATCTCCATTGCCTGTGCAAGACTAGCCAATACCCTGCAAGGCCAACATGATCACTGGGTAGCGCCATAAACCAGACTGGGGAACAGCCAGAGGCTACCGATTTGACTATAGTCCGGTGGGAATGTCATACCATACATCATGGTCTCAACTATGCGGTGGTGGGGCACTGACTGACCAACCTCCAGCGCAGTCCATGTGTCTTCTTGATTAGCATCATCAAAGAGCCTGGCAACGTAAACACAGTTACTCTTTCCTCCCCATCTCTCGGGGTTCACGCAAGAAAATGCAGGGTTCCTCCTGTCCAGGCTAAGAAACAGCGCATGGTTTTCCAACTTCTCCATATGTACCCACTTGGCTGGCTTCACTGAGAAGTCAAGGCGAAAGACCTCAAAAAACCTAATGGCGCCATTGGACCTGCCAAAGCTAAGAGAGCTTCCAACTGAGGGAAGAGAAGCAATTGTGAAATCAACCATGAGAAGCATGTCACCACAGACCACCAACCATGTGGTAAGAGGAAAAGTCCACAGGGACCTCCACGTAACTGCTACTTCTTTCATGCTGAACTGAGGTGTTAGTTGGATAGTGTGAAGCCTCATAAGAGCATCTACGACTAACCTTTGAAGGACACAACCTGGTAGATGCGTTCATGCTCAATATCAAGAGGATGCTCTGACCAGGAGTTTGCTCCAACCTGCCACTCAAACATGGAGACCCCACGTGCGAGATTACGAAGGGATAGGACAAGGGCTTTGGTAATCTTAGGTTTACCATATCCCGCACTTTTGTAAGAAAACTTCTTAATCCTGCTTAATGAAAAATGTGCCAATGCACGCTCCTGAAAAAAAAACATGGAGACCCTTGAGAAAAGGAGGAGGCGCGAGTTGGGTGAACTGAATGGGGCCGTAAGGACACCAATGCCAGAAGAGTAACCAAGATTGTTGTTGCATGGGAGTTTGGGGGGCATCACCTTGGCACCAGTGTATGCATCGACAAGGAGGCAGTGCTCCTCATATGTAAAGATAAGATACCCATGTGAGCAGCCCAGATAGTCCATTTCATTTGGAATGTTTTGAGGCACTGAACATTGAAGGGATAAGTTTTTCTTGGTAAGGTCATTGAGCTTCCATTTGCAATTAGACAAACAGAGGGACTTGAAACCTCTGCTATGTGGAGGGACATAAGGACCATCTGGTTCGAGATGGAGAGGTGGGAAACTGAAAGCATACACAGAGGGGAAGGAAGAGACTGCTGCACGCCAAGAATGGCAGGTGCCACTAAAAGCAAGGAAGTCCTGGAATGAGTTCATGAGAACAATGATTTCATGAAGCAGGTTGTCCAGGAGATCTGCACAAACATAAGGCCCAGATGAAGTACAGCCTGACTTCTCCACAATGGTCACTTCTCTGCCACATAGAAATTAAATAACAATGGATCAGAATAAAGAACTGAAACATAATAGAGTTATATACTGTGGGAGTTAATACAGTGTAGGAAATGCAGTAGGATTTAACTGAACAATAAGGCATGGTGGTCTATGTCTATAATGACATAGTAAACATCAATCGGGACAAGTTATGTCAGAACCACCAACAGCTTGTTTTTTTTCTTCCACAATAGCATAACTAGAATTATTTTGGTGAGCCAACGGTACATATAATTGTATATTTTCAAATCATGGCAGAGGGGGTGATTTGCATAATATCCTCAAAATAAATATCAATTGACATAAAAGCGGCAGTGATATGGTCCTCTTCTTACCCAGACAACTTTCATGTGTCTTTCTTTGTTTCTATAATAATTTATTAGGTCACTAAACAGAAGTGAGCATTGCTCCTGGCAGCCCCATAACCATGAGGATGACCAAATACACATCAGACTATGTGGTGAAATGACTAAATGAGAGGCACTCTTTTCTGATTCTACTGTGGATCGTGCACATCTAGTCAACAAACTGACTCACATCATGTGATTGAATATACATTTCATAATATTAAATGAGCGATCATCCCTTTACAGGATTATGTGGATAGCTTTGATTCTTTTTAATAGCTCATTCCATGCCAGTAATCAGGGTAACCACAAAAGTATCCATCAAAATCAAATTTGACATTGTGTTTCACCTCATCCATAAACCAAAAAGTTCAAGGCAGCGGCATGATCAGGACTACTCAAAATAGATATAGACATCTACCAAGTAATCGAGGAATTCTCAAACTATTTTTCTTCTCAGAGAATTGCAAAAAAGGAGGCGAAATGGGTTATGCAGAACTGATCTGGAGCGATCATGTTTGATATTGATGAAAATGAACTAAATCAGAATAATCTCAAACAGACACGGCTTATCAACAGGGGATGGAGACCCAAAATTAAAGGAGGCCAGTCCACTAACTGACACTGCCACTACTAATAATTGACCAAAAATACCCTAAATATATCACTGCCAGTTCATCAAAACGTCACACTAATTCATCAACAAAATACACTGAATTTCCCTACTAGTCCACCAAAGGATTCGATACTTCTTCTTTTTTGACACAAAAACTCGACATTTCAGATTTTCAGTAGTACAACAAAATAAATTTCCCTACCAGTCCACCAAAAGAGTCGATATTTCTTCTTTTTTTCACAAAAACTCGACATTTCAGATTTTCAGTAGTATGCGGATTGATGAGCCCGTTTATTAACTACTGATTGACTAAAGCAAGACTACTGATTGATTGATGGATTGAAAGAGCTCGTGGATTCTCATTCTCCTGTTTCTGTCTTGGATCCGCCCCCATGCGATCATCAGGAAATAAATACGCCCTAAAAAGTAAGAAGCGGGGGAAAAAGGAAGAGAGATGAGCGGTTAGGGTTGCGGTCAAGCTGCAGACCTGGTGCTGAGAGTGGCGTCCCCAAGCGACGAGGATCCGGCGCTCTGCTGGGACGATCGCGCTCCGCGGCGGCGGCGGCGGCGGCGGCGCTGGCGGCTTCCGGCCATGGAGGTCGCGTGGAGGCGTTGGTGGCTCGAGCTCGTGTGCTCTCCTTTGGAGAGGACTAGGAGACGTCCCAAGGTAAATAAAGACAGGCCCACTCGGGCCCAGCTCTTAAAAAAGAAAACAAGGTCTGGTAGGCCCATTCATTTTGTTACACAATAGAGGATTTTGGAGATATAAAAAAAAGAAATGCTTCAAAAATCGAAAATAATAGTTACTCCATCCGGAAAAGATTGAAATTCTAGCATAATATTATGTCAAATTGTTTCAAGTTTGATTATGTTTATATAAAAAGTTATTAATCTAATATTTATAGTACCAATTAAGTATCTTCAGACTTATTGTAGAATAATTTTCACGATATCGATATTCTTTTCTATAGATATTGATATCAAAATACACGTCATTCCTGCATAGCCAAATACGAAAAAAGAACTCAATCGCTCCCACACAACCATGAGATTGTGTTTTCCCATCTTACTTGTTGCAGCTAGTTATGAGGATATTCGCTATATTATTTGGCGGTTTTCTTTAAACAAATCTCACTGCATGACAATAAAAAATAATATTGAATGGCTTCCTTATCATTACAGAAATAACATTTATCATCATTCCTCCAAACAAGACTAACGACGAACTAAGCACAAAGCCTATTAAAAGACAACCACCCATTTTTAGCGAAAATCTCTATTGCTGCGGTCTTCATCATTCGACATGCTTGTTTCAAATTGGGTCGATCAGCCGCCTTCTAAAATCTAAAGTATGGACCAAAACCGTGCCCAATAGGTCACTCTGAAAATAACCAGCAAATAAGAGCTTTTTATCAAAAACTACGTCATTCCTGGTCAACTACATAGACCATAAGATTGCACTTCCGCCCACACGAATTTGACATTGCAATTTTGGGTCCACTTTATTGTGACCATGTTTGGAAAAAAAATGTCATATTTGTTGGCGGCTGCAAGCCAAAAGCTCATGAACAATCCTCCAAACAAATCATGCTAATGACACTCAAAAAACAAATATTTGATGGTTTCATTGTTGTCATAAAAACAACACTTTTTTATCATCCCTTCAATTTCATTTTAGGACTGTAAGAGGCCCTTGCCTGAAAAGGCTTCGATTATTATTATCTTTTTTCTCATTAAGCCATAGTAACTTTGACAATTAACTCGTTCCATTTATGTAATTTGTCCCCCACCAAAGATCTACAAAAAGATAAAATCTATATTAGATATGAGTATTGAGAGGCATATTTAACTTATTGTCATCCAATTGAATGACGAACATTTAAATGCCACTCTACCGAATGTTCCTACAAAAATATCACTAGAAAGAGTAAACTTCTAACAGCAGTAAACTTCTAACAGTGCACAGGGACTTGGGAAACCAGTGCTAGCCTGCTAGGTTTGATGAACCGCTGCTGTAATCTCGAAATGAAATAAAATAAAATCCAGAGCAAACTTTGGTTGTATCCTCAGCCCTCACAAAACTATCCCAAGTTTTGTGCGTCATCATGAATTGGCGATTGTATGTCTTGAATATGTACCGAAAAAAAACAAGTTGCACAAACTAGCACGCGAAGATAGAGACACGGTACTACTCCAGCTGCCATTTTTTCCCCAGCCGTTCATGCTGTAGACAAAAACTCGAGCTGATTACTATGATGACAAACACATAGTATAACGGTTCAACTTGTGCAGAATATTTTAGAAAATACACGAGTGGAGGGATACATATGGCACACATGCTTAAAGAAGAAAACTGAAACAATGGGAAAATGCATGGAAGCGAAGAGATGACAAAGCCACCGTCAGTAACAACTGGGTACAAAACTTTTGTAATTCGTTTCTCCAATTTCTCCTGCTCCAGTAACAATAACCAGAATAGCAACAGAAAATGGTAACAAAACCTGAAAAACCATCAGCTCGATTTAGAAGTGCACAGGTACCAGGGTTCAAATGGCGAATGCAAAATGCAATCCTAATGTTCAGTTCTTCACCAGATTACAAGCAGGCTTGCCCAATTCAACATCAAAAGTATTTCCAACACATAAAGCTGGTCCAACTCAGGAAACTGTTCGAGTCACAACGACCTGCTAACTAAATTTAGGACAAGAGCAATTGCCATTGCTTCTGCAAAACTAGCCAAAACCCTATAGGCCAACAAGATCACTGGCTGGCGCCATAAACCAGACTGGGGAACAGCCAGAGGCTACTGATTTGCCTGTATTCTGGTGGGAATGTATGACCATACATCATGATGTCAAATACACGGTGGTGGGGCACTGACTGACCAACCTCCAGCGCAGTCCAAGTCTCTTCAGGATTAGCATCATCGAATAGCCTGGCAACGTCACTACAGGAAAATCAGGCTTTGCCGACTGCCAGTCTCTTTCCCGACTGCCTTTCTCCAGGCAGTCGGCAAAGGGGCTCTTTGCCGACTGTTTTTCTCTGGCAGTCGGCAAAGAGCCTGGCAGTCGGCAAAGCCTCTCAAAGGCAGTCGGCAAAGGCTGGCAGTCGGTAAAGAGGTCTTTGCCGACTGCAAAAGACAGTCGGCAAAGACAGACCGTCGGCAAAAGTGGTCGGACGGGACGGAATTCCGGGCCGTCGGCTTTGCCGACTGCCCTCCGTTAGCAGTCGGCAAAGGCCTGCCCTCTTTGCCGACTGCCAAGGAAAGGCAGTCGGCAAAGAAGCTCTTTCCCGACTGCCATGTTAGGCAGTCGGCAAAGAGTAAGTCTTTGCCGCTTGTTAGTGCCGCAGCGATCGGCAAAATTTTTTTTATTATTATTATTTTTATCCATTTTTTTTACGTAGGCGTACATATTGTTTGAAATCTCATGTTCAAATTTGGGACCTTTTATGATATTTTGCTATATTTCATTCAATTATTTTATTTCCTTGCATTTTCTCGCATAGTCCAAATTTGAGCTGCAGGTGCATGAAATAATGAACGCGGCCGTTCGAAAAATAATATTCATGTTGAAGAGTGTATTTTTTAGGCCATGTACATGAACCCACTCAAAAATTGAAGGTCTTGTCCCTGACGAGATGACCATCCGTCTTGGTATTAGTATTTTTAATTATAAAAAAATCAAAGCGAAGTCTGAAAATCACGAAACTTGGCGAGGTGTCATGTTATCATATGCGGATACCATGGTAAAAATTTGACGATGTTTGGAGCAAGTTAAATCATCGATGTCCAAAACTCTCATATCTCACATGTGATATCATATGTGATCACATGTGAGATATCGAGTTTTGGACATCGAACAACTAAACTTATTCAAACATTTTCAATTTTTTACCATAGTCTCCACATACGATATCATGATGTCTTGCCAAGTTTCGTGATTTTCGTATCACGCTTGAATTTTTTATAATTGAAAAATACTTACTACCGAGGATTGTCATCTCGCTGTGGACAAGACCTTCTAATTTTTGGGTGGGCTCATGTACATGGTCTAAAAATACACTCTTCAACATGAATATTATTTTTCGAATGGCTGCGTTTGATTATTTTATGCACCTGCAGTTTAAATTTGGACTATGCGAGAAAATGCAAGGAAATAAAATAATTGTATAAAATATAGCAAAATATCATCAAAAGGTCCCAAATTTGTACATTGTACTTGAAACAATATGTTTAGCCCACAGGAAAAAATTGGAACCAAAAAACCAAAAAAATCTTTGCCGAAAAGGCAATCGCAAGAAGGATTTGCCGATCAGATGCAATCAGTAAAGTATTTACCGACTGCCCACGGCAATGGAAAGGCTCTGTTGTTTTAAAAAAATAAAAAAAAGGAAGGGATAACCCTATCCACTCACACCCCACCCCCCTGACCTGACCACACACCACACCCATCGCCTTGCCGCATGCCACAGGCGCACATGGCCGTGCCAGATCCGCCGCGCCATGGCGCCACTTGCCACATGCGATTCCATTGGTTGCATGGCCAGCGTTCCCATCATTGTGCCAGCCCATGGCCTGCCATGCTTGGCCCACACACACCACACACAGCCATGCCTGCCGTACCATGGCATGGCTGGCCAATGCCGCCCTGCCCGACCTCGTCCCCCTGGCCGGCAGACCCCCCCTGCCATGGCCATCTCCCTCCCGGCTTACTCCGTCCGGCCTCGGCGCTCGTCTCCGGAGCTCTCCCTGTCATTGCCCATTGTGTGCCGCCGCCGCCTTCTCCTCCTTGCCTTCTCTTGGTCTCCTCCCCAGCTGGCCAAGCGGCAAGCCGCCTCCGCCGGCTGTGCCCTCCGCAGTGGCTGGCCGGGCGGCCACGCCTGTGAACTCCTGCTCCCGGTGGCCGGTGCCCCCCCTGCTCCTGGCTCCTGTGATCTGCATCTCATCATCTCTGCTGCATTTTGCACATCTCGGTGAGCTACCGCCTCTTTTTTCTTGAGATCCAGATCAGCTTCTATTTTCGATTTTGAATATTTAGTGATTCAGATCATATTGTAGCTTGTAGGGCATAAGAGCACTTTGAATAGATATCATCATTTATGTTATTTGTTAATATCTATTAGTATCTGACTAGTTGCATTTTTAGCCTTCTATTATTTAGCGCCCCCACCCTCTTAGAAACGTCTTTGAATTTTGAGACGAAAACAAGTGTTCAGTCAACGAGCTGTGTGAGGAATGTGTTCAGTCAACGTGTATGTGATGTCGGCCATCGAGCCGTGTATGTGATGTCGGCCATCGAGCCCGTGTATGTGATGTCGGCCATCGAGCCGTGTATATGATGATGTCGGCCATCGAGCCGTGTATGTGATGTTGAATTCTTTTTGCGGAGTTTCGAAACCTCTCCGTACAAGGGAGGTTCTCGCGAAAATTTGTACTTATATTGTTTTGTTGTGTTTCGTAAAAGCGGATCCGAAGTAGCCCGTGTGCCTTCGTCGGCCGCACTGCAGCGTCACCTCGGCACCTTAGGTATAACCCCTCTTCCCGTATCATGGTCTAGGTCGCGTCACCAAGTTAGGTGTCTCCGTCAAAAATT